AAAAAATTGATTAAAAGATAACTATCGTAGGGGCGCCGCGCCTGTCAGGGGATTTATCTAAAATTGATTGAAAGTGTGAAAAGATTGAAAAAGTTTTGTAGCTCCAATTGTTGTGTTTGACCCCTAGTATTTTATCACAATAATAATCTAGATAAAAACATTTCTATACGAGTTCAAAATAGAGTGACACTCCGTTGTTTAAACAATCGACATTCAAAACGATTTTGAATTATTGTTTTAGCGCTCGGAAAAACTATTCATTTTTTAATAATCCTGAACGTTTTATTGTTACCAATGATTTTAAAATATTGACACAAATTAAAGTAAAATAGTGAGACACACTATTCGGCTGCAATCAACATAGAAAACTAGAATTTCGTGGTTGAAAACTTGATTTTCGTTTCTCATTTCAGTTAATAATTTGCAATGAATCGAACGGAATTTTAGTTTGAACAATGAACTCATTCAGTGTGGTCATTCTATATTTTGGTGCAATTTTGATCAGTGGCATTTCAGGTATATTTCATTCCAGACGAAAATTATGTGCATTTTGAGCAGTTATTTTCTTAAATACAAAGTAATAAAAGAGCATTGAAGGCATATCATAGCCAACGCCCAAATTGATCTTGCAGGTGTGACGTAGAGACGAGTGTATTTTTTCGAGTTTTATTTTTTGAAGTAGATCAATTTCTTGTGAATTTAGTTTCGGTTGAAGTGGCCTGTATTTAGTAGAGTGTATATTTCGTTGTATTATATTGAAATTTTGAAACAGTGAATTTGGAAGGAATGCATGTATTAATGTATTGTTGGTTACTTGAGTATGATTTCCTTATGAGCCAATACTGAAAAATACACATACACTTTTGTATTAAACTTGAATCGTTTAGCATTCCTAAATGGAAGAGAACGGTTCTTTTCTCGTCATGTCGTCTTTTGCGTTGCTTTCTTCATATTGGTTGTAATTTTGCTTGTTAACAATACCAGACATTATAATGAGATATTTTCAGCCAGATGAGTCAGCTCAGCCAGATATCGTCAGGAGCTGAAATGGAGTGAAAACAATAAAAGTGATTGTTATAGTGATTGTAGCAATGTAAGTGTAATTATAACCATAACAATCACTTCTATTGTTTTCACTAAATTTCAGCCATCCCTGCGACATGACAGTGTATTGCAAAAAGTGACATGCTGGCGCCATGTACAACATGGTGGTGAAAGAACAAATTTTCATGTAAGAGCATGTACGACCACATTATTGATGTTAGTTGTTATCAACTTGGATGAAATAATTTGTGGTCGCAAATGCAAAATGTGCGTGGTCGCAAAGAGTGATCATAAAATTTATCTATTTTCAAAAATAAAATGTTTACAATTAGAAAATTCCTTGCGATTTCATCATTTTTGTATTTAAAATTTATTTCGTTTAAAAAAAAGTAGAAGAAAAAACAAATCGTCTATCACAGTGTGGTCGCAAATACGTTGTGTGGTCGCACATGCAAAGTTTGTTCTTTCACCACCATATTACAGGTACATGGCGCCACCATGTCACTTTTTTCATGTCGGGGGGATGATTTCAGCTTCTGACGATATCTGGCTGAGCTGAATCATCTGGCTGAAAATATCTCATTATAATGTCTGAACAATACAATAAACTCACTAATTCTCTCTTCGAAGATCTTCGTGCATGAATCTTTACCAGTGTCATTGTGGTTTTTGTTGCGTTCATCTGTCCATCGTCTATCCAAAAATCGTCTGTCCATCGTCTACACTTAATTAAAACCATACATTTTGAAAAAAAAAATGATGTAGCAAAATGATGAGTACACGGCCGTAGTTGTCCTAATCAAATAGTTATTATTTTTTTTAAATTCCAGATACTCGTTTCAAGCGAGCTGATAATGAGTAAGTACAAATGATTTGGTTACGAATCCATCCTTTCAATAGTTGAATAAGTACTTTGTGTATTAAACCATGTGCTTCAAAAATCCTTCCCTACAGCGAATCAATTCATGAAGCTGCCAAGACTGGTAAGCAAACAATGATCATTTATGGAATTTTTGACTGAAATTCTTTTATATGGTTTACTGTTAAACACAGGCAATACACAAAAAATTCATGAATTACTAAAAAATGGAGTGGATATTAACACTAAAGACCTTGGCAATAATATGACGGCATTACATTTCGCAATCCAAAATGGTAAATTAATTATGCTAACGTCATAGTCTGACAGCTCTTGTGCATAAAATTGCGCTTTATTTGATTGGCGCCAGTAGTCGATAGTTGTGTTGATATTAGAATGGATTGTTTTTTCAAGTTTTTCGAATTTTTGTTCATTTTAAACTTTAACCGCGTTATATCGTATTGTAGTATTCGAAAAACTACAAAAATCATCCATTTTAGTAGGCTTGTGATCGATTGACACCCGATGTGAATCTCCGAAATATTCAAATATTTTTTTGCTCACAGCTCAACTCAATGCAGCTGATTATTTAATAAAGAATGGAGCAGATATCAATGCGAAAGATAATAACGGATGGTCACCAATTTTTTTAGCTTCTCATAATGGTAAATAAATTTCAATTCAAAGGGCTAATTATTTCTGGTAACGTAAAACCTTCAAATTTAAAATGATTTAAATATTTGAAACGCTTTGTGTGGATTGCCGAAGAAGGCATATTCTAAATTGAAATGTATGATTATAATATTTTGATCAAGGGCAAATTCAATTTGTTCAAATGCTGGTAAGTTTTGCTCCCGACTTGAATATCAAAAATAAGGATGGGTGGACACCAATAATGGCCGCTGCTCAAGAAGGTGATTTAAATCATAATCAGCAAATGCTTCACACTTTACCTTTAGTAACAAATTTCCTTTAACTTGAATATTTAAAATGTCATTATTTTTCACACAATATGTTTACAAACAGCCACATTTTATTGTAAACTTTTCCAATTAAAGTAGGGGAGAGTCACGTAGGTTGAGACGGGTTTTGTTTTTTGGTCAAATTTTTTTACTTATACAATTTATCA